TTTCTAGGTATCTGATTGGCTTAGCTAAATGACTAGAAAATGTTGTTCATAAATTTTAACTCTAGGAATCAGCTTTCAGGATCGATTAGGTTTAATGGGGTCGTATAAGGATTCTGATACAAATCATAAAAATCACAAAATAATGTTCGGAAAATTCCAACTGCTTCTGAATTTTCTCGAACTCTTATGCAGATGCAAAACTTATCAGAGAAGCTTTGGAATGGTGATCTGAATGACGGCTGAATAAATAGCAACCCTAGAACCCTAAATACAGTTCAAAAAACTGGGTTAGGCTTCCTCAATACTTTTGGAGCCTACAGTAACCTCAAAAATCTTCCGGCCCTTTAAGCTGAAGGAAACAAAGAAGAAGAGTACAAAAATGAAACTTCTCGTTTCTCGACACGGCACAAAAAATGTTGTACTAGTTGGGTTTGCACTGAAAAGTGGCAAACGCGTTCTTCTTCTACTTCGTCGAGGAGGGCAGCAATAGTAAAAAATGCAAAGATGTCGCACTTGAGAGATAACTCGGTTTCCGTCGAAAGAAGAAGAAGACGTCTTCTTTTTCTCTTCTTCTGACCGCCGACTCAGGAAAAGAAAAAATATAGTCAATACAATTCAATCAAAATTTCAGAATTTTTTTCGTTGGCTCGAATTTGGAATGAAGACCACTAAACATCAAGATGAGTACTAGGAAGATCCACAGAATTGATGAAAACTGGTCTATTTCAACTTCTTGACGTCTAATATCGGTATTATCCTGGTACAAAAAAATCGGAGCAGTTAAAGCGAAAGGCTAATGGCCGTGGTCAAAAAACTACAACTACAGTAATCTCGTTTTGGGACCTTCGGCCACGGCCACCAACGTCCGTCTTTCACAGCAGCGCGTTTTTGTACCAGAATAATACTGAAACTATTTTTGGAAAAAGGGTAGACTGTAGAGCTCTTCAGAAACTTTTCAGGTTGGATGGCTACCAGAAAAACGAAGACGTCCAAAAAAGACAAAAAAGTTTTTCGGAAAAGGAGTGTAAAAAGTGCATGTGATGGGTGATATGCCACCCATGTACTCATCGTGGTCAGTCAGTTGCCCTTCCTTCTCCCACTTCTTCTCCACCCATTTTTCAATTTCACGCCACCAAGAAGAATGTCTGCGTCTCGATGTCTCACACGCTCTCTCATTGGCTACTCGCAACATACTTCGACGCGGTGACGACGCACCACATTACCCTCTCAGACATCGTCTTTGTTCTTTTCAATGCTCGTTTATTTTGCTCAGGTCGCGTTTTCAAGAAATAGCAACAAAGAGTATGAGGTAAAGGAGATGGAATTGAAAAGGAATATCTCTCAGGATGCGTTGAAGTTGATTTATTATGATGATGAAACTGGGTCCTCGGTTGAATACTGGTCAGGTTGAGGTACTAGGGATTCTAGAAGGAAGGACAGGGCTTCACAGAGGTTGCATCAGTTCAAGAACCCTCGTAAAATGATCTTTCCCCAATAGAAATTATTGGTAAATTGAATTGAAAATTAGAACAGTTGTAGATCTATCACTAGATAAGATAAAAACCACCAGTGTTTCGAACTACAATAACTCCCTGACAACGTTGTTCTTTCAAAAGTATCGAGTTTCCCTGTCCATCAAGTCCTACTCATTTTTGCTCACTTCTTTTTAAACAAATCTCTCGTAAAATTTTTTAGTATTACTTCGTATATATGAGCTAAAAAAAGTGCACCCTCCGATGTTTTGTCTGCGTCACTTCGTCTTGTCCACTCTCTTGAACTGCAACAAACAAATGACTGGACAGCGGAGGGACCCTTTTTCCACCCCCCTCTGGACTCTTCCCCTATCTCTCCTGGCTATGAGCATGAGTTTGTTGCTTCAACCCCTCCTCCCACTATATACTTTTAAATCGGAACAAGGCTCTCACTTCTTCTTTTTTTTCTCATGTTTCTTTAAAAATGCCCATGTGTTGGGGTCAAGAGTAGGGACCGAAAGAAAAAAGCACAAGAAGTAAAAAATGCCAAAAATAGAAAAATGAAAGAGCAAATGCAGAAAAGGTCTCAAGAGTGGTCAGATGATTGGTAGGATGAAACAGTAGACAACATATAAAAATCGAAAAAAAAGAAAGCGAGGAAAACTGAGAACTGGTCAGATTTGGAGAAAAAACTTTCATTTTCAGATATTATGTTGTGAATTGCATATATTACGCAGAAACTAGATCTCTGCGGAAACAAAAAATTGGCATACGGCTCAGGTGTTTATCAATTCGAAAAAAAAGAGAAAACGATCGAAAGTGAGGGAAAAAAGTGTTGAAAAAAAGAAAAAGTGACCGTCGTTATCAGTTGATCTGATGACGATTTGGAACTTGAAACACGATGACGACGACGATTGCACAAACATAATATAATATTAAAGCACATGGGGGGAGCAGAGGGCATCAGTTTCAGGCGCCAGGAGGAGGAGCGCTGATAAGATGGTCACTAGGTTAACATTTTGTGAAAAGAATGGACACTATCAACTGATTGTCGCCTCCTTATAAAAAATTTAGGACAAAAATGTCATGAGATCATGAAGTTTTCTTTTCGTCTTTTAGAAAATCATTTTGAGATTAATCGTTCAAAATATGCACCTTATTGCAATTCACTCATCCAAAAAACTATTATAATGATTACGAATTCTTTCACACAGATATTGTTCATTTGAATCATTATGATCCATGACGGGATCAAGAATCCTACTTCTATAGACTATATCCTCTGACCTAAATTTATAGAGGCTACTTTTATTTAGTTGCTCGTAACAATTTTTGATTGTAAGACGTTCCAATTTCGAAAAACTACCGAAAAACTTATACTAGAAGCCCACCCAAACCGTCAACTTTGAGCTCAACTATCTCGATTCCTGTGAAAGATATCAAAAATGTGTTAACTGATAAATTGTTTATCATAATATCACCATTCGTTTATCAGTTGACAGTTTATCTTTTACGGGAATCGAGATAATTCAGCTCAAAGTTGACGGTTTGGGTGGGCTGCTATAAGGGAAAATACTGTGTTTCTTCAATTTGAATAAATTTCTAAGAAGGATAAACTTCTAATGAAAAAGCTTGTGATCAAATCTTAGTTCCGGTAATCAATGTTCCAGTGTTACAATCGTGCATACTACTGTACTTATTTATGCTCTCAATTTTTCCAAAATTATCTCCTGAAGAAAATACCAAAAACATTACTTATCAAAGAAGGCTACCCAAACCGCAAAATTTGAGCTCGTATATCTCGGTTTTTGGCAAAGATATAAAAAACTTGTCAACTGATAAAATATTGGTGATTTTATGATAAATAATTTATCAGTTGACAAATTTATGATTCTTTCACAGGAGTCGAGATAACTGAGATTGAACAGATTGTTTGGGTGGGATTCTATGAGAGGAAATACGGTATGAGGCTCATTCATGTATTAGGTTACGGTATCGACAGAAATTATTCTTAATAAGTAGAATTTAAAGGCATGATCATGGTTACAGTAGCCACAAGCTTTTAGAATGACTATACCGGTTGCTGGATGCCACGTGGCTCCGTTGACACTTCAAGAAAAAAACACACAATGAGCTCATACAAGTCGTTTTCTTCTTTTTTTCATGCTTTTCTCTCTTTTTTGCCCGTTTTCCGCGAGTACTGCTGCCCACAGGAGAGCCTCGTCGATATCATGTTTCGCGATACTATCGTAAACTAAAAAATTTGCTGGCCGGCCTTCTTCTTCTGGAGGCGTGGAAGAAGAAGAAGCACAAACCGAAAAACTGACTAGCACAGGCGATAGGATCAAATTTCCAGTGAAAAAAGAGTGAAAGAAACCAACCAAAAAAATTGAGAAAAGAAAGAAAAAAATGGACGAAAGGAGAGAAGAGGACCATCCGGAAATCATCAAGTGTCCGACACATGAAACATGCTATACACTAAACAACTGGCCACGAGAGTCTCCCTTGCCAACCATCGACTACGACACAAAACGATGTATCAGGTGTTGATAGGAAACATCTCTCAGCGCCCAGAGCAGCACCCCATCATCATTTGTTGCACTTTTTGTCATTTCTTCTCTATTTTTTCTCTTGATGGTCCCTCTCCGCCCGTCGCCCGCCCAACAACCAATGTGCCAGACATACACACGAAACAACAAACGAATGGCCTCTTTGATCGTTTGTATAGTGAAATAGCAGCACGGACAATCGGCGAATTTTAGAAAAAAGAGAAGAAAGAAAAACTGCATGATGCTTGAAACGTGAAGATGATGATCCATGGGTCGGCTGTGGGCAGAGGTTGACGAAAGACGTCATGACAGCTCGAAAAAATGGTTCAGTTCAATTCAAGATCATGGGGTAGTGGAAAAAGAAGAAGTTCGTGGAAACTAGGTGAACATAAAACGGAGTAGTAAAAAGGAGAAAAAAAAGGTGCATTGGAAAGAAATAGAGAGGAGATTGGCTTTTGACGACCTAGATTCAGATTACGGTAGTTGAGAGCCTGGGCTATTTTAAGCTTTAGTTTTAGTCTTAGACTCAAATTTGAGCTTGCTTGGAGTAAGCGAGGAAGTGAGAATCAGATCTGAGTATACTTTTGAGTGGAAGCAAAATTAGAATTTAAGATTTTGAGAATAATGCGAAGATGGATTTCCCAATTTTTTCATCCGAACACCAACAGACGTCGGAAAAGTTTCATAGAATACGGTATAAAACATCGGGATTTTGATTTTCACAGGGATCGAGGGTATGGACAATTCCTACATGAGAGAACTACAGTAATCCTAACTTTTTGAAATTGCTATATAAAATAGAGTAAGGCGACCAAAGAGATTGAAAAAAGAAACAGGGCAGCATGTAGCTCAAAAAAAGAACACACATCCACAACATACACACACAGAGCTTGGTCGTCGTTCTCATTCCTTTGGTCGCCCTTCAAGTGAAGGCCTTCCGACGACGACATCGACGTCGAAGAAAGAGCACCAGAAGAAGATGTCGAAGCTCGACAGAACGTGGCGGCGCCCGGGAGCTCTGCGAAAAGGGGCCGCCGAGACCACACACAAAAAAAGAACGACGAGAAAAAACACAGGAGGTGGGCTCGGGGCGCCCCCGGCTGGCCATTGCCTGCGTCTCTTCGACCTATACACTCTATCGACCCCTTCTTTTCGTATAGTTCGCGTTTCTTTTATAACCAATAGAGTGAGAGCTCGGGAAGAAGGGCTCGACTGCCGCGGTCGTCAGTTTTTTTTTCCGCCCAATGCTCTCGCGCCTCAAGATTTTCTCCGCGGACGCCGAAGGTCCCTGCCGAGAAGGCGGAAATTCAAAACCTTTCGGACTAAACGGGCGGTGGCCACAGACAAAGAGTCGGTCAGTTCGCGTTGATAGGACATCTAAAAGCATGTGACGGAAGGGACTTAAAAACAGATGCCGAGGGAGAAAAAAAAAGAAGAACCAATAGACAGCTGATCAAAATGTCAATGAGATTTGATCCAAACTTTTCCTGGGATTCATGAAAATAAGAAACAGATACATTTGTATGAAAAAAACAACTCGTTGTTTGGATCGGGAGGTTTACCGGGGGTTTTAGACAGTGACGCGCTCAAAAATGCATGACATCTTCCGGGTGTTTCCCCAGAAGAAGTTGGTGAGTAAGGGCTCCATTGAGTTGAAGTTTTTGATAATTCAGACTCGTTCTTAAGAATCAGGAGTTTGAAATCTAGGAAATCAGTTATCTGATAGACTTCACTGAATCTCGAAAAAGCTGGTTTGTACTATTGTTATAGGCTACGATATTTTTGAACTTCTACAGACTTCCTTTGTTTGAGGCTCTTGGAATTAAAATCTGAGCATCCAGACCCGGGAACCATTTTGCTCTTTTTCTTGTTGTGTGTTTTTTCGTTGGTTCGTCCGACTGGGTCGCCCATTTTTCAACATGGTCATATGTTGTTTTTTTTCTTTGCGTGTGCCTGCTCTACCCACCCATCTATCCCAGATCTACATTTTCGCTCCTGGATCGGTTCGTCTGCTATTTTTCTATCGCATCTATGTTGTTGTTGTTTAGTGTTGTTTTTGCAATCGCCTCGACGCGGTCGCTCCGACACTAGTATATAAAAAAGACGAACACATCAAAAAAATGTGTGTGTGTATGGAGTAGGAAAATTGAGGCGGAGCCGTCTGAAACGGAAAAAAAATTCTGACGAAGAGGACAACGGGGGGACAATTTTATGTGGTTCCGAGAGGGGGCATGTAATGGGTATGTCAGGTTGACGATGATTCGTGGAGAACTGACCCCAAAAAAAACAGAAAAAGAGAATAACGAAAAAAAGAAGGGCAGTGACCAAGTTATTTGGAATTCACCAAAAAAATCTTTTGACTCTTTGTTTAGAAATTTTGTTGGAAAAGAGGAAAACTCACTGTGACCACCACATGAAGGACTAAAAAATCGTGAAATCTGGACTTCTTGAAAAAACAGGAACTCGGTAGAAAAACAATAGGAAGATGGTCGATGAACTTTAAAGGAGTTTGTGATACCGTTCAACAGTGTTGACTTTTTTAAAATATGATTCTGGAATTACTGTAGATACCATATTGGAAGATGCATTCTTATTGTTTATGCTTCAGCTATATGTATCTAGTTTATATCTTTTAGAAGCCGTTTACCAAAGTAGTGCATCAGTACTCGGTTGTCTCCTTGTAACTTCTGGTGAGAAGTTCAGAAGAGTTCGGCTTTCGGATGGATATTGGCCAGGTTCTGGTTAGAAGTTGCTCAAGAACGGCTCTATAGCGGACCACGGTCAGATTGAAGTTGAAAGTTGAAACACTCTTAGGTCGGAACCTTGTCATAAGCATATCAAAATTCGGGATGGGTTTAGAAAAAATTATTGAATTCCACCTCAAAAACAACTTCTTGGGATAATCCGCCCATATAAAAGTATCGGAATTTATAGAAATTTCAATGAAAACTTCAAAATTTGGAAATTTTGGAATCTGACACCGGCCGGGCCGGCGAATTTTTTTTTGACCCGGCCCGGCCCGTGACAAGTATGGTCATAAGTTTGTGTCAGTTTGGTCGGCTTTAATAACGGTCTTATCTGGAATCTAAGCTCCGATCAGAAGTTGCCGGCAACGTCCAATTAATTTGAGTCAGGGAAACCGGGCCCCTTCTATTACAGGTTTAAGATTTGCGAGAAAAATTCCTGACAATGAAGTACAGGTTCTTAAAATTTTACGAGCCTACAGCAAATCGATTTTCAAGTTTTTAGAATTTACATATCACGATGATGAATTTGCAAAAAAAATGAATTTCCTTTGATCTTCTTGTTGACACCACCACTGGTCATTCCTAATCTCAGTCTTAAATATGAAAAAGAATAACACACGAACATCTCCGAGCTCATTCAACATCTTCCAGTATCCCCTAAAAACCCATTACAAAAATCAAATATTGAAGAAGCACAGGGTGGTCTTGTTTTTTATCGGACATGCTCCAGATCTCTTTCTTCTTTCCTTCCTATCATCATAACCAATATTCTCCAGATGCTCCTTCGAGAATCGAAAGATCTTCAGCCTTCTCAGCTTTACCATCTCCTCATTCCTGCTCATCTGTTATTCTGTGCATGTGTTTTCGATCAGTTACACATAATACTCACATCGTCATGAGCAGCTGTTTTGAGCTGCGTCTCTCTGATCCCCGTCTACTATTCCTCTCCGGGCCGGCATGGGTCCGCTCGTTTGACCGCGTTTTTTTGTCCACAAAAAACTTTAAAGCTCCGCATTCTTCAGCTTTGCTGCTTCACTCTCTTTGTCGTTGAGGATTTCAGAAGTGCTTCGAAGAACACACAAAATAACGACGAAGCAAAAAAAAAAGAACGAGCCTGGAGACCAAGAACAATTCTTTTGGGAGGCCGATACCGGGATTAGGAGGAAATAAACCAGAGTCAGATTGAAAAAGAAGAATGTAATAGTAGAAAATGAATCACTGGTGATTTTTTTTTCAAATGAGAAGGTACATACGTTATGGTGTAGGCAATATGAGAAAATTGGAGCAAAATAAAATATGGAGCTGGTACTCTAAAGACCGGAAATTGAGTGGTTCCAGTTCAAAAGTTTCAATAAAGGGAGGTAACATACAGTAGGTATTATGCGACTTCCAAATGTAACATTGTCAAACTGTCGAAAAACGAAAAACACAATGAACATCAATTGTAATTCTAATTAGTTTTGACTTTTCGAATAATCAGTGGGCGTTGAACACAAGGTTCATAGTTTTCAAATTTAATCTTTCCTCAGTTGCTCTCACTTCAGAAGAAAATTCAAACGGAATTCTACAATGAGAAGTGACACATTTGACTCGTCGTAATATTCCATATTTAGGCTTCATATACAACATAATACGAAAATAAAAGACCTAGTATAAACAAAAACAACTAAAAAAGCTAAAAGCTCTCATGAGAAATGGGAAGAAATCTAGGATGTTGGGTTACGGTAGATTAGGAAATGAAAGTCCTTCGAAAGTCCGCAAAAGAAAAAAGACCAAGAAAAAAATGAAAAAGGTGTGAAAGGTGAAAAAATGTTTGTCCAGTCAGTAAAAGAGGGACCTTTCCTGGAAGAAGGCGACCCGTCAACACGCTGTTGAAGACTCGAAACTGCCAGTGCTGTCATGTTATGTGCGGTGTGCATTTTTCGTTTATTCTTTCATTTTTTTCTTCTCACCCCCTCTCCGTCGGTGTTTCTATCTCTCTCTTCATTTTAAACATTGGTGGTTTTCCATTTCAGTCTATGTCTCTTCTAGATGGCCATCCCCCACTCTTTTTTTCTTTATTCTCTTCCAGTTTCGGCCATTGGCCTCTCAACTAGACCACTTCTTTAAGGCACGGCGACATTTGGGTCGGCACCGCGCAGATTGGATGGGAAAGTGGAAGAAAGAGGAAAAAAGGAAGAATAAGAAAAAGATGATGATGATGATGGCAAAAAAAGAAGAAGAAAAAGAAGGAGCAGCTCCGACGACGACCAGCTGGGTGGACACTCAAAAAAAGAAAAAAGATGAAAAAAAGAAGCAGTGCGTCAGCTGATCGGAGAGAGTGGGGGCATCCTCAAAACCAATAAAAAAGAAAAAAAACTCAGTGATTTGTTAGGAGGAAGTTATGGAAGTCAAGACTTTTTGGACTAAACTGGAAGTCTTGGGCTGGGCAGAAGGGGGCGTGGTTGGGGATATTTGGATTTATATCGATGGGGAAATTTGAGATTTGTTTTATGGATCAGATTTTTAGGAGCGTATAATGGAATCATTCGAAAAATGATGAATTGCGTTCAAAATCAGAGAGACAAAAAAATTAGGTTACAGAAACATGCATACACTTAATTAAGATTTAATTTTCTAGCAACAAGAAATAATGGCTTAACTTTTTCAATCATGCAATTTTTCATTTGCTATAAAAGAACCCTACTCTATACATGCACTTTGAGCATAATTATCTCGGTCCCTCTAAGATATATCAAAAATCTGTCAACTGATAAAATATTGGTGATATTGTGATTAATAATTCATCAGTTGAATTTTTGTCAATATCTCTTGAAAGAACTGCGATAATTGAGCTCAAAATGCTGTATACGAAGTAAATATATATATATATATATATATATATGTTTGCTGGAATGGATCTGACTTTCCGCTGATACTGTAATAGAAACAAGTGTGCTTCTATTTCTTTAATTAACAAATTTTTCAAAAAATGGTTCTATTACAGAAGTTACGATACCTACCGTAACCCTATTATATTTTCTATTTGAATCATTAACAACTAGAGCAACAACAAGGGGTCTTCAATACGACACAAAATTCAACAAACCCAGAATAATTCAGGGATCTCAATTAGCTCTTCGACCAACTTGCTATACGAATTTTGATACTTTTGTTATCTATATAGCTCATGTGGCCATGACTCAGTGCCACTATCAATCCAATTACCACGTCCAGCTCACCTCTACTCCTTCTTCAGGTTCATCAACATTACCTTCTTTTGCCGTTGTTGCTCTCTTGCTCCCTTTTTTAGTTTATCCGCGTGTTGAGATTAATCAGTGCGCGAAAGCGGAGCCACTAACTGCCGCTTTTAGACAACTCTCTCTCCAAACAACTACTATACGAAATACCAAAAATAGAAATGAAACACAAAATATACTAAGTTTCTGTTTAATGATAATGAGGGGGCAAGTCTGAGCAATATCACTGGACTGTGTAGCGGAAAAGTTCAACTATACAGAAATTATATGTCATGCATACATACAACTAAATATAAAACAATTGGCATGACAAACGAGTTCATTTTGACTAGCGAAGTGAGCGGTGTTTAGCTCATACTTGTAACGAAGGGATTCGAATGTCTGAATTTGGAAGAACATTATCGGTCAATAAGATATACTAAAACTCATTTTCCAGTTGATTTTCGGCCATTTTTCCATTATCAAGAGTCTGGAGTTCGGCTATCAAATTGTCAATCACTGAAAAATGTTAAAAGTGTAAAACAGACCATGATTGATTTACTTTGCCAATATCCAAATTTTTTAAAGATTTTTTTCGCGATATTTTCTGACTTCTGAAAGGGACCCTTTTTTGGCCCGTTTTTATACTGAAAACGAGAAATATGACTATGAGGCTCGACGACTATAATGCGGAGGTATTGTCTGAAAAACAGACAACGTTGGTTCTTCCTGTTCCTCTATAGAGACATTCGAAAGTACAAAACTTGTTCCACGAGAATTTTTTTTGATTTTTCATGACCTCTGGTGTACCAGCTGGAAGTCTTCCGATCGTAACCCGACTCCTAACGTTATTCAAAAATCAGTTGCACGCTTGATCTCCGATCGTTTACTAGTTCTACCATCGAGACTTTCCACGTACTTAAACTTTCATGTTCAGGTTCAGAGTCCAGTCTTCCTTCCTACCTCATTCCTCAGATGCATCGGCAGCACGTCCGTCTTGACTGCAATGTATCATGAACACATAAAGCCGTCCGACGCGAACACAAAAGGTGTGAATAGGCGTTGAGCGTCGTAGTCGGTGTGTCAACAATCAAAGACAAACCATTTACGGTCTTTACATGTTTCCGTGCCATAAAATGGCCGACGTCTGCCACTTCTCGACTCAGTCGGCTCAAATCATTCAGACTAATTGACTTTTATGAGCAATGTAACATCATAAATATTCAATGTAACATCATAAATATAATTCAAAAAATATATTTTTTTTTCTTTGAGTGACATCTTATTTGAAAACAAATCGTTTCTTTTTTTAACTCAACGGTTAAAGCTGAACCAATTTTTAAGAGCTCTGCTAATTTCAAAAAATCAATGCACAAAATTATCTAAAACTGAAATGTAAAATAAATATTCAAATCTCAACTTAATTCGTTCAATGATCATATTTCCTCTTTCCATCCTCGATAGTATCCATCGTCCCACTTCACACCATTTCCTGTAATTTTCAATTGTTTCAATTGTTTTTCGAGTCCTCCTCAAATTCCTATTTGTACTCAAAACATTATTTTGTTCCCCGGCAATACAACTTGCAAATGTGTTGTATTTCGTGTTTGTTGCTCTTTGCATACATCTGCTGCCGGGCGGCGCCACCGCCCGTGTGCTCCGCGGACTCATGTGTTGTTCTGATCCGCAACGCATACGATCCTTTTCGTTTCACACCTCGGCGAGGGAAAAGAAACACGCAACACGGCTGCTTCCTGTATATCAATTACCGCTTTCCCGATTAATCCGACCCGTGTGAGCAGAAGACAAAAAAGTGTTAGAGATCCAAAGATCAACATCTGGAATAGATGTTTTGTAGAAACGAGAATCTGGAAAAGCTATAAATTTGATAGTTTGTTATGGAGAATTGAGTATAAAAAACAGTTAACATTGAATTTTTCTGTAACCTGGAATCACCGTAAACATTCTAGTAAAGTGTCACCGAAACTTACGAATTTGAGCCAATGTATATCATTCCCTGTAAAATTTATCGAAAAGGTAAAGTTACAAAATGTTCGCCATAATATCAAAAATATTTTGTCAGTTGATTACTTTTCGATATCTTTTACAACAGCCGAGATAAATTGGCTTACAAAAAATTGGCTTGTTAGTTATATAAGAGTGAAAACTGTATTCGTAGTACGCTTTCATGCCTAAAATATGGTTTCAAAATTATAGTTTAAAAAAACAATACAAATGGATTTAGTTTTTCGAATTTACAATTACTCTAACATCTCAGAAATTAAAAAAAAATAAATTCGAATCTTTCTGAAGCATCGCAAAACCGAACTCAAAAAAATATTAGACTCAATCTTTTAGAAACTTCTTTCAATCATGGTACCACATTGGTCCTAAGTTTCAATCCCCAATCAAAAACTGTCTTTATCCTATCCCGTCTGAACAGATACACAAAACACTCAATAGTGCATTTAAGGCATTCCTCTGATATCTTTGCCTCTCTGCGCTCCACAGTTCTTATCCTATTTTTTTATCCGCGTGAAGGACGACACTCACACATTTTGATACGGTTCGCCTCTCGCGGCTCATTTGCGGCTAGAGCACCTTCATGAAAAGACCAGTTGACGCATATATCACCGGAAACAAACCGATTGGCACCCCACACTCTCACTCTCCCTAGCCACTGTTTGCGTTTCGGCCAATTATTGCCACCTTTCGTTATGATACCCCATTGACTGTATTAGATTCGAAAAGAGGATTAATTCTTGCATTTTTTCCAAGCCTGACGTAGAGTTGGTCCTGCCTGCTGTGAGACGAGCCGGATTGTATTACGTTGGGTGGAAGATGATGGCTCCACCTATTTCCGTGAAACGTTTAATTTTTTTCTAACTGATAACTTTTTGGCGATACTCTTTTCTTTCGAATTCCTGAAGCTTTATACTGCCTTCAGGGTAAACCTTTTGATCTAATTTTTATCAGCAAGATCGATTAATCATTCTAGGAAAAAATTGTCTTGTTTTCTAACCTTGATAATATTTTTGTTTTTACTTTTCTGTAAAACCTGCAATAGAACGGCACCTTAACTTTTAACTTTGAGCCAGTTTTTTTAGTTCCTGTCGAAGATATAAAAATGTTGTCAACTGATAAATTCTTCATCACTATATCGCAAGCATTTTACTAGTTGACATTTTGATATCTTGCGAAGGAGCCAAGATTAATCAACTGAAACTTGACAATGTGGGGGCCCTTCTATTAGAGGTTTTACGATAAGTGCTTCAATTTTTTCCCACTACCAAAAAATGTTTCGTCTTCCCCCAACATCACACCTTTCGGCACTTTCTATTTTTGTTCTCCCCTCAACAAGATTATCTTGTTTGTTTTACCACAATGTTCATTTCAAAAGAGCACCTGGTCAAGCTTATGGACATGAAAATTAATATAAGAAATTCCTCCATGTTTCAGTATAATCTCCGATGCTCTCATTGTTCCATGTTTTTGAACATTGCAAGCAAGGTTCCAGCATTTCCAGTTACGCTTAGCTTTCTCTCCCCTCATTATTTTGCCCAACCGCACCCCGACTTCCAGTACAGTACAAACAATAACACTGGGGGTGCCTGGTGCGCGGTAAACACACGTGGACCCACACGTTTCCGATATTCCGGATAGTTTTTTTTTCTATGTTGTTTCCAGTCCGATGACTGGCGACTCAGTTACAACAAGACAATCCAATGACCAAAGAATGAGAGAGTGTGTAAGATGAAGACACACAGAGACTAACAATAGCGCCAGATGTGGGCGAAAGTGGGCGGAGCGAGAGCAGCGAGAGACTCTGCGTGTGTTTTCATAAAGTTTTCACGCATTTACCATTTCCATTTACTTTCCCAATTTACCTCGACTCGTCCAATCGACCTCCTTCTAGACCTAAAAATTTTCAGAGAATGATCCATCTGCTGCTGGTTGGAATCACAGTTGTGGGATCGCAGCATATGACTCTCTGTGATTATTATGAAAAACTTGGTGAGCGGAAAAATTTTTGAACTTATTGGACAATTTGAATTTCTTTAGGAGTAGCAAAATCAGAATGTGGTCACATCATCAAACCTCAGCGGGACTTGGGATTCTACAATCCTCCGACTACATATGAAGCACCAAATACTTTCAGGTTTTTTGATATTTTTTATAAGATCTAATTATAAGACGAAAGTTATTTTTAGATTTAACAGTTTCAATCCTAGCAGTAATAATGTGAATTCTCAATTCAATGTCTTCCACTCATTCTCCAATAGTAAGGCTTTCTTTTTAATACAAACTCAATTTTTCTTTTTTTCAGATCTTGTTGGGAATCTTCCACTTTGCCGAAACTATTTTCATTCATGTATGAGTTCAACAGCATGTGAATCTGGAACAATTTGCACAAATGGAATCGAACAAGGCTCTTGCTGCACAAATCCTCATCAAGCCAGCTGTCCATCAGTCACATCCATGAATATCAATTGTAGAAAAACTAGAAGTGTGAATTGGTGAGTCTCAAAAAAAGTAAAAAAATAACTAGGGGGCACCCGGAGTTGAACCGGGGACCTCTCGATCTGCAGTCGAATGCTCTGCCACTGAGCTATACCCCCACGAAAGAAGACAAGAAAAGTAGCAGATAAGAAAAACGGAGAAGAAGAAAGAAGAAGAAGAAGAAGGAAAGAAGGAGAAGGGAAACGAAAAGAAGGAGGAGAAGAGAAAGAAAAAAAACGATGGAGATAAAAAAGAAACGAGAGAGTTTGCTTGCAGGTGTAACAGTGATATGGACTGCAGAGGAGGATCAACGACGGCGTCAATGTGTTGTCCAACTGGATGCAATTATAATATGTGTGTGCATGTTGGAGCACAAGTGTTTCATCCGAGAAGAAGTATTGGTAAGTTATATCATTTTTAGTTGCCTTTCTGCTTTTCCGGTCATTTCTTTTCAAAAATTCTTATTTAAAAATTCATGAATATCCATAAATTTAACCAAAACTAACAAGTTTTTGAGTAAAAAATGTATTCAACTAATTTCTTTGAAACTGGAATTTTCGGAATAGTTTTCATTGAAAACGTACAGAAGTTTTCAATTTCAAACAACCAGTTTCGAAAGGCACCCTTCTTTTTTTCTGAATCCCTCTAGGAGTGCCGTTCTATTAGAAGGCCCTTGTAATACAGGTTTCACAGTATTAACACATCTAATTTGTTTTCAGTATTCAATTCTCTCTCCCCAAATGCTGCTTCTTCTGATCAATGTCCGGATCCCTTCCAATTGGGAGTGAAATGTGTTGCCACCAGAGGAGCCAACTGGTGTCACACTGATAATGACTGCCGAAGTGGATTGTATATCAGAAAGTGAGTTTTTAAAAACATTTTGAGAAATTTCAAATCCCACTGATCTTCAGATGCTGCGCCACAAACTGCGGATACAATACGTGTGTAATGAAGTTCAATGACAAGTGGATCATTGCTTAATAATGGTCAAGTGTGCGATTCGTCTTTCAAATATCTGTAAATACGTCAATTTGGGGTCTTTCCTGTCCTTTTTCCTACAGAACCAGTTACAATATTTCTACTCAGATTTCATCATCTCTATTCTATTTTTTATCCGAGTGTCTTTCTGTGACTTGCTGAGAATGTTCGAAAATTTAATTTATATGTCATACAACAATAAAAAGTATATTATTCAATTGAAATGAATGGAAAATAAATAATACAGAACCCGTGATTTGTGCGAAAAATTAGTTTTGTGATTCACAAGAAATTGTCGAGTCTTTGGATTTTTTGATCACTTTCAAGGGTACCAATCGTTTGTAAAACAGTAAAATTAGGACGATAGCGACAAGAAGAGTTATTGCTTGAAGTACGATGACATAACGGTAGCCAGAGTATTTGAAGATAGCTCTGAAAATATACAATTCAGTGGGAGATAATACTACCAAAGACTCACGTAGACGTAATTGAAGCAATCACAGGTGCCAAACTTCCTCCGAGTGAAAAGAATCCTTGCATTGTTCCCTGTTTTCTTGGACCCAAAATTTCAGAGAAAAGAGTGGGTGACGGGGTTTCCACAAATGGAAATGCGATACCAAAAAAGACAATGAAACAGAAAAAGTAGATGGGAAGAGGAACTCGTGTTGTTTCATTACACCAGAGATATTCAGCATAACATCCTCCGGCTTCTGTAGTTTCAACACCTGCTGGCAAAAAGTTCAGTGGTCCAGAGTAGAATCCCCATGGGAACATAAATGCTTGATAGAGCAAAAACATTATCAGTCCGAAAATCATTTGCTTTCTTTTATCGCTGAAAACGGATTTGCTATCAATAAGATTCGAATATTCATTTCGCTTACATTTTTCCAAGTCTAGTAGCGCCTTGGGCAATATTTAATGACACTGAAATTGCACTACTAATTGCTAGTGCAATTCCATTGTAGAAAATGGAGTCACTGTCTTTCCAATCATAAAGTACTGTGGTCAACGGAGAAGACATTCTGAAATCAAGTCATATAATTTAAATTTCCGTCTCCTGAAAAACTTACACTTCGATGTTTGTTGCAGTCATGTTCACAATCATGAACAAATAAATACAAATCAACGCAGCTGGAATATCAAACATTGGAACTTCCACTTCATCTTTCTCTTTTTCTTCTTTAGTCACTATTCCGACGTAACTTTCATTAAAGAAGAAATAGATTATGACACATCCGAAAATGCAAATCAAAACCATCAAATATGCAACAACAGTGTACATATTCAGAACGAATCCACCTATTCTGACACCTGCTTCACCCAATGGAGTGAAAACAGCCTGAAACATTGGAATGAGTTAATCTTTTTTGACAAAATAACTTACCGAAATAACTGGTCCAAATGAAAATCCAAGAACAAAACCTCCAGTTCCAAACGAAATCGCTCTCATTCTGTCTTTTGGAGTGGACGCCATCGCTGCGTAAACTCGGAGAGCTGCGATATTTCCAACTCCGAGACCAGTCAAGAAACGAGCGAATAACATCATCCACTTGACATTATCGAACATTCCAAGAAGTCCATACCATCCCTGACCAACAGCAGCAATCAAGAATCCTGTGATAACTGGCCATTTGACAGACATGGTTTTTTGATTCCAATATCCATAGACTGGATTTGACTGAAAATAAAACTATTCGCATTTTTTGTTCATGAAATGTTAAACTTACAATCGTACATCCAATACTACAAGCGGCTACAACCCATCCTAGGAAGTCAAAGTCAGCCGTTTTATCTAGCTGAAAAAAAGATCACATAAGTTCCGTTTCAAAGTTAAAACTCACTCCACTCAAATACGGCCACATTGACATGTAATACACAGAAATTTGAATTCCGACTACGAATTGAAGGAATATACAAATCCACATAGATTTCCAATCGGTCTGCTTCTCGCTTGAGCATTTCTCCGATGTCATTTTCAGAAATGTGTTTGATTTCGAAACACAGAGTATGAGAGAAAAACACTTCTGAGTTTAGTTCTCGCTGGTGTTTAAATATCACTACGCCATCTGAATAATCGCCCTTCTTTCAGTATTTTGTGTGGTCGACCTCTTTTTTTATCACTACAAAATGCGGATTGTTTGATGGATTGAACTCTATAAATGGCTGTGACTCCATAAGTGACAAGTGCCAGAAACTCAAAATACTCATTTTTACTTTAGCCAGAAAAAACATTTTTGAAGTTTTTCATTTGCAGTAATCGAATTTAGATGGCATGAAAATTGGTTTTTCTACTTTCAGCGAACCTCAAAATGTTAAAGGTCATTTTCCGAGACGATACTTTCGATACTTTCTTTAATATTTCAGTTGTTAAACTGTATTGTTGAAATTTCATTTCACCAATCTTGTGTCCTTTTCGTTCTGTTTTTTCTTCAAATTTTTTGACTGTAATTTGCTATAGACCCTGATAAGTAATGGACTTTTTCTCTAATTAGCCATTAAAATTGTTCGTTTTTAGTTCTATTTTTTCAATTTTTTGAGCATGGAACTTTTCATTGTTTTTAACAGATCTTCTCGTCTCATTCCTTACTCTTCAAATGAAGAAGCACCATCGGTTCAAAAAGCTTGGTCAGAAACAACAAAAACAAAAATTTTCACCTCAGAAAACCTTAAGATTCCTATTTTTCTTTTCGGTGGCTGAGTATCAAACGTACAACGATGAGAGAAAAAAAAAGCGCGCGTTGATTGAAAATACATATAAAGGTCAACTGTATTTTAGGTCAACTGCTCCATGTCCACTTGGAAATTGTTGAACTTTGTGTGGCCTAAAAGCTGTCTGGGGCGCGATTTCTGACCAGGCCTTTTGGACCTTTGTGTAGAATTCCTTCTTTTTGCTTTCGCGCCGAAACTTTTGCGATCAAATAAACTGTTTTCTTTGCTTCTCAAATTTCTCACCCAAATTTTACAACAAGAATATTCTAAAACTGTAAATTCGTGCTTCACTTTTTCTTTGGAAACCCGAGCTTTTGACACATAACCAATCGACATAAGAAGGTTTATTGAAAATTATTCAAAGTCAATACATGAAAACAACAAAAATCAACAAGTTTAGACCGCATGTCCAATTGATACATTTCAGTTTGTCACTTTTTCGCTCTCCGTCTTTTTGATCAAATTCAATGGTACCAGCCTCTTGTAGAAAATCAAAATGAGAGCTCCTCCGATAACAAGAATCACACTTTGAAGTACAATGATATAACGGTAACCCGTATATTTGAAAAGGGCTCTGAAAAAAGTTTGACTTCTAAAATGTTGGAGCAAAACATACGTGGATGTAATGGAGCCAATCACAGGTGCAATACTTCCTCCAAGTGAAAAGAATCCTTGCATTGTTCCCTGTTTTCTTGGACCCAAAACTTCCGAAAAAAGGGCTGCAGCCGGTGTCTCTACGAACGGGAATGCCAATCCGAAAAACACAATAAAACAGAACAGATATACATATAATGGTACACGTGTTGTGTCATGGCACCATAGATACTCAGCATAGCATCCTCCCGCTTCTGTAGTCTCAACGCCTTCTGGTATGAAATTCAATGGTCCTGAGTAGAACTCCCATGGGTACATGCATACATGATAGAGAAGGAACACAAATATTCCGATCAACATTTGATTCCTCTTGTCCCTGAAAAAGGAAACAGTTCAGTTTGGTGCATTCGAGTCCAGGATTTGCATACATTTTTCCAATTCGACTAGTTCCCAGAATCACATGAAAGGTCACAGAAACGATACAACTCAATGCGAGGGTAATACCGTTGTACAAAATTGCATCACTATCCTTCCAGTCGTAAAGTACGGTGGTCAATGGTGTAGACATTCTGAAATTGAGGTCAAAATAACAAAAAATCATTTTGAGCCTGAGTATTACACTTCCACATTTGTTGAGATAATATTGATAATCATGAACAGGTAAATGCAAATAATAGATCCAGGGATATCGAACATTGGTACAACCAGATCATCATTTTCCTTCTCTTCCTTCGTAACAATTCCAGCGTAACTCTCCTCGAAGAAAATGTAAATGACAATGCATGATAAGAAACAAGTCAACGCCATCAGATATGCGACTACTGTATACATATTGAACACAAGAAAACCAATTCGAAGTCCGTCTGCACCGAGCGGTGTGAACACTGCCTGTAAATTTATTTTTATGAAAAATATAAAAAAGAACTTTTACGGAAATAACAGGTCCAAATGAGATTCCAGAAACAAAGCCCGCAGTTCCAAAAGAAATTGCTCGCATTCTGTCTTTTGTGGTGGATGCAGTAGCTGCGTAAACCCGAAGAACCGCAATGTTTCCTACTCCAAATCCTGTGAAAAATCTAGCGAAGAGCATCCACCATTTGGCATTTGTGGCTACTGTCAGTAGACCGTACCACACTTGTCCAGCAGCCGCCATCAGAAAACCAAATATTGCTGGCCATTTGACAGACATGGTTTTCTGATTCCAGACTCCGAAGATTGGATTTGACGGAAATAGAATTATGAGATCTAGAGTAGGCCAATGTACTTACTATCGATGATCCAATACTGCAAGCTGCAACGATCCATCCCATAAAATCAAAATCTGCGTTTTTATCAAGCTGAAATATTTTGAGATCTTTATGTCTAATCCGATATTAATTCCCTTACGCCACTCAAATACGGCCACATTGACATGTAATACACAGAAATTTGAACTCCAACTACGAATTGAAGGAATATGCAAATCCACATTGACCTCCAATCTGTCTGCTTCTCATTCAGTATTCTCCCAGCGGACAATCTAAAGTGAAAATCAGATTTTCGTTCTCATCAAGTCTCAAAAAATACTCACTCGGCCTCCTTTGGCTTGTCCGCAGTTGGCCCAACTGATCCCGTCATTTTGTAACGTTCTGGAACTATTGAATTGGAAACCCGAGGAGGGAAAAAAAAGTTCAAACGGTTACAGTATGAAAATGTAAGGTATTAAAATTGAATGATATTCTAAAAATTCTATCTGTTTGAGTTTTTTATACAGAATAAAATTCCGCTCCTCCTCTCAATTTGAATAATCTGTACTCGTCTCTCTATTTTGCATCTTGAACCGCTTTTTTGACCTCCCGCGGCCGAACTCAACTGCTGCATCAGATATTGTCATCATTTATTATCATGAAATTTCAGAAATATTACAGAAAATCAGATTGAAATCTGGGGGGAAAGGGGTCATTGTAAAAGCAAAGAGTGAGATCATGTTAGCTGGTAAAACTATACAAAACCGGGAAAAATTAATGGACAGGATGGGAAATTGCAAAATGAAACATGAAAAGATTAAACTGCAAATAAAGTAGAAATTTAGCTAACAAGAATATGCAAACTGTTGTCACTTCCAGAAGAAACGATGCTGGGAACAAAATCACCACGTGGAGTTATTGGAGCTGTTGCTTTTTCTTCGTAAAGCATTCCTATATGGTCTTCGAACAACTCCATACGGTCTCCATACAAAGTTGATTTCATCATTGGTTCTGGTTTGATACTGAACAGTTTCATTTGGTCATCGTCTGATGAGATCCGTTCCCAAACTGGTAATTGGGAATTCGGCCCGTTTGGAGTTCTGAAAAAGACACAAATTCAGGAAAGAAGAACTAAGAGAAGTTCGAGAACTAAAGTTCAAAAAGAAATTAATGACTCACCCAAACTTGACGAAGTTTGTGAAGTAATCGGCGGTCATTTCACTAACAACTTTGTCGGTCTTGTTCATTCCAAGTGGCGCTGACATGTAATTGCAGTCGAAAAGGTATGAAAGTTCAGAAGTATGAGTTCCACCGGTGAATGGAACCACGTGTTGTAGCCATCCCCACATTTGTTTGCTTTGATGGTCAAACGAGTACCCATAACATTCAATTCCTCGACGTTGGCAGTCTCTCATGAACCTATAGTTTCCGTAATTTGCGAATATATCCGAGATCAACTGAAACGGAAGACGTAAAGAAGAATGATTGACATAATGTGAACTCTTACATTGACATAAAATAGTTTTCTGGCTTTCGAATCAGCCCTCAAAGCGGGAGAGTCCCCGTAAACTTTCTCGGTCATTGCTTCGATTTTTGACCGAGGCAATCCGCTTTTCTTCGACAAAACATCAATCGCACTGTTAATTTCCTTCTCGGTACCACGTAACAAACCAATTGCACCTGGAAGAGATTATACTTCAATTACTGTTCGGAGAAGGATTGGGTTGAGATTTCCTTGAAAATCTCAAAAAAAAAACTCACAGAAAAGAAGGGCTTCGTATTCACCACCACCAATCAGTGATGGTACGTGTTCTTGAGTCTCTCGAAGAATCTTGAGATTATGAGGAAGGATGTCTCCATCGACAACAGGAGCAAGAGGAAGCTGACATTCCTTAAAGATGGTGTTAGAGAAGAACATGGTCATTCCGAGTCTGAAATTCAATATTATAAATGTTGTGTTTTGAGCAAACTAGAGTTTATAAACAGGTTCAACCTTGAAATCGACCCTGAATAGTTTCTTCCCCGGAAACTGAATACTTACTTTGAAGTGGGCAATTCGTTGAAGAATTTGAAGATGTCGAGACTCTCTTCTCTCTTCGACGCGTAGTTCAACTGTGGCTTCCAACCAAGTCGTTTCGCCCACTTTTTACAGTACTCTCTGATTTCTTGCTTGCTTGTTGTTGCCCAGTGACAGTATGAATTGCCACCCATCACGATTTTCTTATTGAAGAGGCCTTTTGCGAGTGGGGAGAAAGATAGAAGATCGGCGGCGGCAGCGCCGGCTGACTGTCCGGAAAGTGTAATGTTGTCAGGGTCCCCACCGAACGAGGCGATGTTGGAATGAACCCATCGCATCGCTTCCAGCATATCGAACAGTCCAAAGTTTCCGGGACACACGTCATCTCCGGTTGACAAGAACCCCAGGAATCCGAGACGATAGTGACAAGTGACCACGATGATTTCTCGAGATACGAGTAGTCTGCAAATGTTCTTGGCAGTATATCTTTCCGCAGAATCCATCACATATCCGCCACCATGAATGTAGAACAAGACAGGGTACTTCTGAAATGAAATTGATTTATATTCTTCGTGTCGTTGTTTCGATTTCGGAAGAGGATCACTGATTTTGAAACAAATCTCTTACCTTGTCATCTCTGATTTTTGGAGCGAAAACATTCAAATAGAGACAATCTTCACTTTGATTTGCTCTTGGTAATGCTTTATCCCATGGCATTTCTTTATGAATTGATCTGTTTGGATACTTACTGCATTTCTTGATTCCGTCCCATGGCTTTGGAGGTTGTGGTTTCTGCAAAAAAACCTTGTAGAAGCAGTCCCTTAAAAGATAAATCACTGCCGAACACACCTGCACTTGACAGGTGAAGGTCATTTCTAAATGACCACTACAGAGAAAAACTGTCTAGATGATTTCGAAGAATTCGGCAAATTTCTTATTTTATCGCTCGGCTGCTGACGTCAAAATCAGAAACTATCCGAAACTAGTTTATCAATAAATGGTTACCTTGAAACGGAGATTTCCTACTGGCGGCTCTGCGTATGGGATTCCGTGGAAGACGTCACACACTTCTCCTTTTGGAGTCTTGACACGAAAACTTTCGAGAAGTCCTTGTTGGACGCGGACAATCTATAATTAGAAATTTTAAAACCTGAAAATATATAATTGAAAAAACTTACCGAACTCTCGTCTTTTCCAGATTTCAAGTTTGAGAAGCAGGTGCCCATATTATCCTGGTTGCTCGATGTTCGAACACGGGCTGAAAATTAATAGAGATTAAGAATGAGAACGGATATTTCTTCCATTTTTCAAAAACCTTAAAATTTTTCTCTAAACTTACCTTTTCGGGTTGGGAATAGTAATTGCGGCATCTTGAATTTGCAATGACTCTTTTTTCGTTGTTTGACTTTTAATTTTGGAAATTTTGAAATTGGTTTCTCAGAAGCTCTGACAGAATTGAAATGACAGAACGGTACTGGGCTCTCGCCTCCGAATCTTGGTCCTTTTAAATAGTACCAGGCTGGTAAATTTGATGACGACGAGAAATACATTTGAGGTGGGCGGGGACTAGGAAGAGATCACGAGACGCAGAATGAGAGAAGACGATGAAAAACTCTCCGTTGTTTTCTGAAATTATGGAGAGGGAGGAAATGATGTTGGCAAACAAGAGACGCAGAAGGAAGATTTCTTTAGGGCGAATGACTCTTTGCAGGTCAGATGGACGAAGATTCAGTTACAGAAAACACATAGATTGAAAGGATACATACTAGATATGTACTTTCTTTATAGTTTGTGAAACACGGATGGACACAAAAAGTTGAATTGTTTGCCAAAATTTTATGACAGATCAGAAAAAATCTAAATGAGGACAAAAACAAGGATGACATGATTCGAAAAATAGGATAACGTTCGAGGAAGGGTGTAAAAATTAACCAAATAAATAATGTACTCAGCTGATTTTCGAGGTAAAAAACAAGTCAGAATTTGGGAGAACTCTTTTTTTTCTGTGTGTTTTTTTGGGCATTTCAGAAGTTGATGATTGGTCAGTCGTAACCAACTTTTTCGTAATATTAAAAAGCAGCACTATGTTTTTATTTAATAAAAAACAACGTCCTATCGAATAGTATTCTCTGATCAGTATTGTTTCAGTGGTGATTTCTAAAAAGTAATTTCAGAGAAAATGAAAATATCCGTGGTATCATTCAAGCTGAAGCCATTCTGATTCTCTGAAAATCAAAACTATGATTTTGTTTGGAATTTTGAACCAACTGTAAAACCTGTATTAGAAAGGTCTTGGAAAAATCGAAAAGACCCCGTAATAGAGGGCCATCTTAAGATTGTGTTTTTGAAATTAAAAAATTCCGTACGTTTTCAGTGAAAGATATTCCGGAATTTCCGCAGTTTCACAGAAATTTGTTGAAACGTTCTTTTTGCTCCAAAACTTGCTGAATTTTTGATGAAATTAATTGATTTTCATGAATTTTAAGGCTGTAAAATAGAAGGTCCCCCTCTAATTGAAGGGCCCCTGTAACTTATGCCTTGTCATCAGGAGGTACCCTGGAACTTTAAAAGAGCCGGCCCTTCTAATACTGGTTTTACGGTAGTCCTGAATCTTGACCCAACAGTTCATTTTTTCTGCAAAATTGTTCATTAACAGGATTAAAGACGAACTGCAGACTATGTTGTTGTTATTGTGTTCCCTTTTCCACTACAAGAATACGTTGTTTTGCTGTAATTTACTAGATACTATCATTTCAATCACATGTTCCAGTTTTTATTTTGCACACTTTCTCCATTCATCGTATTGTTATTACAGATACCGAAAAAATTTGACCAATCTTCGAGACTTTGATATTTGTCACTGTTTTCATTGATTTTTCAATCAGATCAACCGAACTTTTGTTAGAATGTTCGAGACTCTCTTCCCGGCTACACATTTCTTCTTCTGATCAGTCTCCCGGTGATTCTAACCTAGGCTATACTGGTAAACAGGTTCTCAAAAACGCACACTACAGCTGTATCTGTAGTTTGTGACATAGGAATTCCTTACTTTTTCAAATACTCATCAGACACGAAAAGGGCGGATTAGATCATCTTATCATGATTTCTCTCACTTCAAATTTTGCTGTGAACATTTTACGAAAATGATGTAATGAAAGTTTGCAGAGATCGTCTCCGAAGCCATATCAACATCACATTATCGTAAGTATACACATTCAGGAAGAAATGTGAGTCATGTCTCTCCACGCATTCCCTAAATTGATCAATTCACTGTACTTATGCTAAAATGCGAAAAAATAAACAATTTCTCAAACATGAGCATGACCGTCGTTTCAACGAATCCAAAATAGTTTAAGTAACTTATTTTTAGTATGTGTCTGGAATTCGACAGTCAAAGAAATCACGTTTTGACTTTTGAACTAGACTAGTTTCTTGATAAACAACTTAAGGATACATATATCGAAAACAATGTCGAGACATGTATTCAGGGAGATAAAAAATAACAAGTCTAGAAGATTCTTGACAACGGAAGTATGAAAATTAATTTTCGTTCCAAATAAAAAAATAGGTTCAGAGAAGGAGTCATTTAACTTCGAGTTCATTTCATAGATACTTGCAAAAGCAGTGCCCGACCCGCGACTTTTGCGGCCGAGCCCGGCCCGGTGAGCCCGGGTTTTCCACTTCTGAAAAAATTCAAAAAAAAATTGGAAATTTTTTCAAATGTTTTTGTGCAATTTTTTCAAATGTTTCTCTACAAAAATCGAAATAGCTGGGTTAAAATTGAACCCAAACATTCCTAATAAAATCTTTTTTCTTGTAACTCTATTATACCACAAAATTTCTGCATGTTCTTCTAAAATTATACTTTGAGCCGTTGTTATTCAAACGACATCACTATTTTTTCAAGTCTCAATTTCAGAATGGAAAGGTCCAGAAGAAGATGATGTGATGTTTTGATATTGTCACACATATACACAAAACATGACAAAAGCACCATCACAAATATAGGTCGGCAACAAGTCTTGTGAATTTAAAAATGTAGTAAAAATAGTCAGAGATCATGAACTGTTAAAAACTGAAACAAATAAAAAAAGAAGTGAGAAGTTTTAGGGAGACCCTAAATGAGGGACCAAAGTTTGAATCCCTGATTCAATTTCAGGTTGGAATTGCAAAGAAAGAGGTTAAAGTTAGTGTGATGACCAACATTGGCATTCAAAAAAGGGCTTAGGCAGGAATGTACAATGCCCGTGTATGAGGGAAGAAAACGACTGATTGCGGCAGATTGAGTGAGAGAGGGAAAGTATCTGAAGAGAAGTAGAAGACATTAGCGGCTTCTGTTGCGTATGCCCAAAAAATTAGAACTGGAAAAACGAAGTAGAGAAGAGGAGGAAGGAGGAAGTAGAGGATGTAGGTGGGAAAAATGAGGAAACTGGGTTGTGGATTCTAGGATTAGTTCTAGGATCAGTTGTTGGATTCACAATTTTTTAAACTTGAAAAAAGCGTCGCGGAACAAACAAAATATTGTGAACAAACCTTATAAAAGTCCCTCTTATCTTATCTTGAGAATTACCGTGAATCTGTATTAGAACGGCCCCTAACTATAAACTTTGAGCCAATTTATCTCGGCTCTTGTCAAAGATATATAAAAGTTGTCCACTATTAAATTGTTCATCACACATTTTTGATATATTTTTCAGGGACCGAGAAAAATTGGCTCTAACAATAAGTGAAAGGTTAGGGGACTTTTCTATTGCATGTTTTACGGTAACTAAAATCAAAACGGAGCTTCAGATGTTTCGAAGTATCTAGAAAAAGAAAAAATACGTCATCGAAATCATGTGAAAAGGATGATTTGCAAAAATTGATGAAGATTTCTGATATTTTCTCAATATGTAGTTTTCGTGATAATACGTTTCAATCAGTTTCATTGTGTTTTGATGGGATTCGGAACAAAACGGTTTCTATTGTTTACCCTCAAATTTTGTAATACAAATCCCGTACTTTTTTTGGGCCATTCATTAGGGCAATACTGCCATCAGACCAAAAGTGGCGCATTCCATATAACACTTTCGATTATTTTTCCCGTTCGTTTCACCCCCTCTGATCGGTTCTGATTGAATCGAAAACTTCGGTTTACTGAAACCAAACAGGGAATTCTTCCTTTTTTCGAGAATCTCGCTGATTCTTCTTCTCTTTAAAATTGGGAAACACGTCATTTTGCCCTACAGGTGAGATGATCAGATGATCGATGATTTTATGGTAGGAGTGACTGAGACTAGAATTAGTTAGTGGATGATACAAGGATAGACAATCAGTATTGACGATTTCAAAGTTTACAAATCACCGCACAAAGTATTTGATAGGGAGAGAGGGTGTTGTGAAATTGAGAAGATGAACAAAACAGAATGAAGATATGTATGTAGAAGAAAAAATATCGGGGATTTAAGAAATGGCAGAACGTCGGGAGATGTGGCAGAATGAAAGAACCAGTCGGCTAGCATGGTGTTCGAGTGAATGTGGCTAATCATAACCAACTTTTTTCTCTTTACTTTTTCATTCTTTTTTCTTAAGGGCGATAAAGAACAACTTGTTTTTGTTGTGTTGTTTTCTCTTTCTGGATTTTCGTTATAATGGAAAAAAGTTGATTGCTAGAAAAACAAAAACACAGACACTGTTAAGATGTCGAATGGCAATCTGAAGAAATCGGTTGCGATTTCTATAACCTGGGTGGAGAACGGTGAAGTAGTTGATCTATAGAATTGTATAACGATTGAACTTTTTGAAGATTGAAGACCAACTCAACTCGGGCGTTGTCTTCAACTTCTGGTCGGAGATTCCGGATAAGACCGCTACTAAAGCCGACCAAACTATGGCAAATTAATAGCAAGATTTTGACCTACAACATTCTAGAATTTTCAAAACGAATCTATTTCTAAGAAACAAGGATGTTCTTTTTAAACATCTGGTCATTTATTTAAAGTTAATCTCATCCTATTCGAAACATCAGAGTCTACCATGGCGGCCAGACCTCCTGTTACTGGAAGTACCTAAAAAGACACCGTACGGCAACCTTTTTTGGAAATATATATTACTTTATTCTCCTATTTCGTTAATTATTTTCCTCCACAATCTTTCATCCTTCATCTTTACAATTTTTGATCTACCTTTCTTGATTGCAGCATCATCATATTATAAAAAAACATTTCCGAATCTTGACGCTGATCAGATAATCGGACAAATTTCATTGAAACCGGTTTCATTCTCAGAAACGCATAATTACGTCGTTTCGTTTCGCAACCTATTCAGTTCTTTTTTCTCGATTTGCCAAAAATGTATTGTTAATCTTTTTGACCCGCCAACACATTTCATTTATAAGTAAACGGAACAAGTTTTGATTTAAAACTGAAACTATAAACGAACCAGACGGAATTTCAATTTAGTCTTAAATAATTGAAGAAGTCACGAGTTTTCGGTTCGAGGTCATTCTAACTAGTCTTATCAAAGCTTGATTATATAGGAAAAAGCTTCTCAACTAACTTGCAAAATATGTGAGAAGAAATGACAAAATTAAAACGAAAGAGAAAATTTGAAAGAAATTGGAAACGAAGAAGCGAGAGGAGAGAATAGGAACGGGGTCAATGAGATTCACCTGGGAATACTTTTTTATCCGATTTTCGTTTTGAAACGAGAGTGGAAAAGGGTAAAACCTGTAATAGAAGGGCCCCCATACTGTCAAGTTGGATCTCAAATATCTCAATTCCTATGTAAGCTATCTAAAATGCGTCAACTAACAGATCCCTTCTGATATTATGATAAGCGATTTACCAGTTGATAACTTTTCATATCTTTTACAGGAGCCGAGAAATATTGGCTCAAAGGTGAAAGTTAAGGGGCTCTTCTATTCCATGCTTTGCGGTATGGAAACTTTTTCAAAACTTTAAACTCACTAGTCTATAGTTTTCAAATTTTATAAAAAATTTACTTACCGAAAAATCTTTGAAATTTGTTGTGGTATTAGAAAATTGAACTAAACCCACCCACTTGCATAAATAATATCTAGCAACCTTATCTAATCTTGGTCAGACAAACAAGAATATCTAATCTTTTCCATTCGGGTGCATTATGTTTTCTTCAAAAATGAGCAATAGTTGATCACCTGCTTCTCCTTCTAGAATTCTCTTTTTTGTTCTCATTCATTTGCATTGAACCAAATTTCATATAAAACTCACCGAATTGGATATGCGAGTGTTGTTTTTTTTTTTGAATTCAGATGAGTTTCTCTTTTTCGTATCGCATGACAACGGGAAGAAAAAGAAAAGAGGAAGAAGAAGAAGAAGTGCTGCTTGGTGTTTTGTGGTTTTGCGACTACCTGAAAAAAAGCTGTTAGTCGAGTGAAAAGAGGCGAGAAAAGGGTGGGTATCGCGGTGTGGTGGCTTCCGTTTTCGTTTCACACCGAACTGAAAAAAGAGTATATAATAATGGACAGGTGTTTTTGGCTCTCTTTTGTGTATTTTTTTTCTTTGTCAGAACGTTTCGCCATTGTTGACCAGTATTAAAAACATACTCATAAGTAAAACGATTATTGAATGGGATTGAAAGCCACTATTCTCAGCAACAACAAATGTATTTTCCGAAGTTTGAAAACCTAAAACTGCAAAAACCTATGATCGTTATATTCGTAAAAAACAAGGTCTTCTATCCGAACGCATCGGTAAATACATGTTTTGTTATGAACCCCCCCCCCCCCCTTTAGAAGTTACAAGCCAACAGCCAAGGAGCATCTCACCAAAATTACATGTTTTGTACGAAAAACGTTTTTGTCCTGTTTGGTCTAATTCTTGTAACTGTCTCAAAAGCATAATGCAACGATTCCAGATTAAATCATTTATTGAGAAAATTTTTCCAGAATACTTCATTAAAATTGTTGAACTTGAATTATACTCATTCATATTCTAGACCGGGCTTTGAAATGTTTTATTAACTTCTTTCCAGATCCAATAGATTTTTGCTTTGTTAAGGTTTCACACACGCTTTTTAAAGGTTTGACAAGACTTCTAATAAATTTTATCCACGATACCACAAACGGAAAAACGATTTATAAACTCTCGAACGACAAACTCAATACACAACCGGAAGGACACCCACAAGAACTAAAAAAAGACTCCCACGACTCAGACTGACTCAGACTCAGACTCAGACTTCTTCCCACGGACAACGGACACGGATAGCGCACAGCCAGAAATTAACTGACAACAGACAACGGACTGTCCATGTCACTCTGCTCCAAACTAGAGAGATCACGGAAAACCAATCACAGAAGAAACCGCGCGCGCAAGAAGAGTACAATAAAAATAAATCACAAAGAAGAGTTCACGAAGTTCACAAAGATGCGACGTCCGTTTAGTACCTCTGGAGACATTCGGAACCTGAAATTATATATATATTTGTTTGCAGAGATTTTCTTTCAATTTTTGTTACCTTATCGAAGTTGCATGAAAACTTTTGAACTCCTCCCACTACCGGCGTTTCTGCTGACTGGCGTTTTATTTATTGACTATAACAGGGATAATTTAGCCATAGTTCAAATTTCTCTGTTAATTTCTTCGCAAAGGTTGCCCATAAAATTGCCTTTTTCCAAAAAAAGAATAGTCAATGGGAGTTGAAAGGTGGTACTCAACTTTTGGATCTTTGTTTTTTGCGTGACCTTTTTCTGTGTGGTCTTGTGTGGCCGGTCGTACTTTATAAAACAAAAGTTTAATTAGAAAATTAAATTTTACACATTTTTTCTATTTTTTAAAAAATATTTGCACGTGAAAATACACCCCCTAAATTTCAAGGTAGCCGTTAAAAGTATTTTTAGTTCTCAAACTTTTTTTCCAATCCCCACTTCCTCACCTTTTATTTTCTACTTTGGTGTATTGAATTCGGAATTTTTTAAAATCCCGATTTCGCCCCAATGGTTCAAAAGTTTTATATCAAAAGTTTACGAAATACAGATCAAGAAACGAAAATTTAAAATATTTTCGAATTCCCATTTCCTCACCTTTTATTCTCCTTTACTACTCCTGTCATCTGAACTCCTGCCAATTTCAGAAAGTGTCCTGGATGGTGTCCTTGAAGTCCTGAGTTCCCGGGAACCAAGAAGCACCTAAAACATAAATATTGAAATTGATCTGAATCCCGATTTCACCCCCATTATTTTTATCACTGGTTTCTCGAACTGAATTTTTAAATTTAAAATTTTTCCGGAAAAAAAGTGGTTCAGAAGTTTACAAAAAACCAGGGCTGTCCAAAACGAAGGCCGGGCCTCGGCCGGCCTCGAAAAAGCCTCGGCCGAAGAAAAAAAGGCCTCGGCGCGCTCCATTGAGAAAAAGCCTCGCGAGGCCGGCCTCGCAAATGTGACTACGGTCAGCAAGTCGCATATTTTACGACAAGTTGCGTATTTTTTTTAATTTTTTGTTTTTTCTCGCTCTTTTTCAGCAAATCACGATTTTTCGAGAGTTTTCTCGATTTTTCCATCGATCTGTGGCGACATGAACATTTCGAACGCCAGTGATGGTCGGTTTAAGCCGATTTATTCATTTGTTATAACCGTTATTCAATTTCAGACACAATTCAGATGCCTCAATGGTTCATTGATCCCAACAAAATCGATTGTGAATTAGTGATAAAGAACAAAAAGGAAGGATTCGGCGGTTTTTATGCTAGTTGAAATTTTTTTTTGTTGAAAAAATTAGTTCTTTTTCAGAAAAAATGCACTGATAAACAGGGATACATGCGAGTGGTGTTTGTTCATCATGCGACCGGCGCAGAGAACGCCGTCAAATTTTTAAAGTGTGAATCTTGCTCGAGCATTATAGGAGATAACGGTGGCCATTTGCAGTAGGCAAAAACATTTTTTATATTATATATGATGAAACTATAGGCGCCACCAGAAAAAACACAGTACATCTGGAAATTCTACGTCCCGTAACGTTTTGAATGCTTCAAAACTGGATGTATCGAGATTGCTGTCACGATTTTTTGCCACCACTGGAAGGCCATTGCACGAAATGGAAAATTCTTCGTTTAGAACGTTGGTCGGCGATTTATTGAATCTCGGGTATAATTATTTTTTAAAAAAGTTCTCATTGTAAATTGTATTGTTCAGCAAGCGAATGGATCCAACATCAGTACCAATGTCGCTTATTCCCAGCAGAAGTTCTACGCGACGGTATACCTTGGAAAAACTGGACAATGAAATTGCAAAGTTGCGAACTCTGGTGATAATCGACTCATGGCCATTTGTAAAAGGGAATTTTCAGCGTGTTGCCTATTGCGAAATCGGGATACCTATCGTTCATGGCTGATTTTGGAAGAGTTCACGAAGATTTTTTGTGCCTAAAGGCTTCTTATTTGGAAGAAAGGATTGACGAAGATGGTAGTCTGAAATGGGTGACACTCGTCGGGGGATCCTCTAGAGTCGACCTGCAGGCATGCAA